TGAAAATTACATGTCAAGTCTTATTTGTCATATTGTTAATCCTACATGTCAAAATATTTTTACATGTCATCTTTCTCCCATCAAGTAATGGGATGTAGCTAGATTTTTAATAAAGGATAGTAAATAGTAGGGACCAGATCATGATTTTTTGACTTGAGGGTCTCAATCGGGGGTCTATACCATACTAGAAGGACTAAAATGGGGGTTTAACCTTTGTTCTTTGACTCTACTTGGAGCTTCAAATTTAGATTGATTTCCAAACTTCTTTCTATCATATAATATTTCATGTATCTAATTTCTATTCCTTCTATGACTTTGACTAGTGCTACATTCTATCCCTTGTTGTACTAGGAATTTTGTTGGAGTTAGATTAGGTTGTCTTTCATCTTTTTCTTCTTTACTTTCTTCTTCGATTTCCCCCTTTCCTTCTCTTTGAGCATTCATCTTCATATTTTCTAGTTGTTTACTAGTTATGGTAATCTGTTTGCATGTATTGTCTAAATCTTCTACATCTTCTTCTTCAAAGAATCTTTGTTCTAGTTCTTTCAATTTTTCTTCTTGAGTTTTTAACATAAAAAGTGTTATTCCTTTTTATTTAAGTTTATTTTGTGAAAATCTTTATAATTATTTTAAATCCTTTATTTTTATCTATAATATTTCGTTATTATATATTGATATTATAGTATTTTATAAATCCTTGAGTTGGATTTGAATCTTATTGAAATTCTTATCTTTATCACTTTTCAATTGTAAAATTATTTTATTATACATCTTAAGCTTTTATTACATATTTTTTAGTAATTGCTTTTAATATCTTAAAAATTCCTTCTCTTTTGATTTTTATATCTCTAACTCAAGATATTAGAGCTTTTGAATCTTTAATAGACCTTTTTTCTTCTTTTATTTCTTTTAAATTTTTAGAGTTTTTGACATTATTTATTTTTTCTTTAATAGAATCAAATTCTTGAGGAAGGGATTTTTTCATTTCTTTAATTCTTCTTAAGGTATTTTCATTAATAGGTTCTATTTCTAGAATCTTATCAATGATAATTATATCTACTATATCAATTATGTTTACCTAATATATTGAGTAAATACATGTTAATCCAATTTATTTGTTTATTATTTATGTTGAGAGAAGTATATTAATAGTATTTTTTAGTATATTTATTCTTTCCCTTGTTATCCTTATTTGGTAATTTAGAATTCTAACTTTTACTGTATCCTTTAGATTCACTTTTGAAACTCCTTGTTCTAAGTTTGCTAAATTTTTCATTTCCAATTGAGTTAGTTGCTTAAGTTAATTATAAATTCAAACTAATCTATTTCTATAAAATATTCCTTAAATCATTATATTTTATTGGGAATGTAGTATTATTTTCCTAAAGCTTAAAAGCCTACTCTATTTTAATTTTAACTTACTATCAAAACTAAGAGAAATTTTATACTGTAAATTATCCTGAAATATTCTTGAAAGTTTATAAATTACTTAGAAAAAAAAAAACTAATGTTTGAGTAAAATGAAATTTAGTTGATAATTAATAGAGTAATTATTAAATTAAGCCGGTCAAAATTACAATTGTCTATTGGTCTTTAAAAAAAACTAATGTTTTAGAGTAAAATGAAATTTAGCTGATAATTAATAGAGTAATTATTGAATTAAGCCGGCCAAAATTACAATTGTCTATTGGTCTTTAAGGGGATCTGGGGATCTGGCCCAGTTAACATTTTAATATATATATTTTTGCCCGGCAGAAAAACATAGAAAAAAAGAGAATCAGACCTGGCCCAACAAGTTAAAAAAAAAAAAAAGGCCCAAAATGAAGTCGGGTCACGATTGACCCGACTAACATAACCCGCAGGAGGAATCGGGGTAGAACAGATTAAAATGGGATTTTAGAACCGTTCTTCGCATTCCGGCCAAACTCCCATATTCTGGCGGTACTTAAAAAAATTCAGAAAATACCAAAAACTATCCTAAAAAATGGCCAATGCTACCCAAGTACAATTTTTAGCTAAATGAAGGAAACCCAAGGTTGAGTTGCTCCTCCGGAAAACCTCAAGGTCCCAACCACGGTGCATGTTAATAAAAAATCAGTAATCCCCAGGCACGCTTAGCGCAAATAAACCCTAGATCTAGGACAACAACATTTCATTTCATGAACTGAAATTGCATAGTAAATTGCAAAAAAAAAAAAAGACACAGAGGGTCGACACCCGTACCTAAAATTCGGGATTTCCACAAGATGAGAAAAGCCCAGAAATTACTTAAAAATATTAAATTTTATATTTTCCTTACAATATGCTATTTCTTTATTTGTTTTTATATTTTTCAAATATAAATTGGAAAAAGACTTAGGGTTTTGCTTGGTGTAACTGAAATTTTTTATAAAAGTTTTATTTAAAAGAATCTGTTGTAAAAGTTTTATTGTAAAAAGTAAAAAGTGTTTGATAAAACTTTTTATTGGATAACTTTTAAAGTATAAAGTTATTTAATAATTTTTTTTATAAAAGATTTTTTAATCTTGAAATAACTAAAAATGATATTTTGTTTAAAAAAGTATTGTTTCTCTTCTTTTTTTTCTTTTGACATTTTTATAAAGTTTTAATTTTTTTTAATTTAAGTATGTTAAAGTTGATGGTTCCAAATGAAATTTTTATATTATAAAATATAAATGCTACTAGTATGATTTTAATATTAATAGAGAAATGAAAGCTTATATTTTATTATTAAAAAATATAACATATCACATTCAAATTTTATAAATAAAAAAATAAAAATTGACAATAACAATCATTTTAATCAACTTTTTATTAAAAATAAAAAGAACATTTTCTTTAAAAAAAACATTGTTGCTCCATTTTTTTTTTTTGTCATTTTTGTAGAGCTTCAATTCATTTTTAATTTAATTATGTTAAAATTGATGTTTACAAATGGAATTTTTATATTTATAAAATATAAATACTAGTAATTAATAATTTAATAGATAAATAAATATTTATATTTTATTATTAAAAAAATGCTACATTTAAATTTTATCAATAAAAAAATAAAAATTGACAATAACAATCATCTTTATTGACTTTTCATTAAAAATAGAATTATGAGATCTCAAAGTGAAACCATATTATAATTCTCTATTGTATAATTAAGATTATTTTGAAAAACCCTTTGACTTTTCATTAAAAATAAAGTTATAAAATCTCAAGGTGAAATCATACTATAATCCTCCATTGTATAATTAAGATTATTTTGAAAAATTCTTTCACATTTGTTCTCTTCCTCAAGCGTTTCAAGCATATAATTTGGAGAAGAGCATGGGATGTTGGTAATCAGTCGTATGTGAGGCTATCAAACACCTGTTTGAACTTGAAACTCTAAGTATAGTGTCCACATAAGCAAGATTCAGCAAAACAATATATGTAAGTAAATTTTACAAACAGAAAATTCATGCTGGCACATAGCATCCATGAAGACAATTAAGGGCAACCAAACTACTATTTTCGATATTATTTTTCAATTTGTTGTTAATCAGAACTTTCTGTAGACAGGTGTTCTGTGGGTAATGCAAATATAAATAACCAATCAACATAATGCAAAGTTTTCTTTTTAACAAATATGATCAGCAAAAGGGAGCTTATGTACTCATTTAGATGAGTGCAAGAGAGAAAAAAGAGAAGATATCCGATGGCAAAACAACAGCATACATGCCACCCCATTTCGACGTTTTTTGGGCATCCATACATGCATGCTCATTGTGGAGGACTACCATGCTTAATTACGTGTGTATTGTAACTCCCATGTCAAAATTATAAGAATGGTGCAATCATCATCCAATAGAATTATTAACTTTCAACACTCTTCTTGAGGGCCATGGAAAAGAAAGAAACTTCTACTTTTGGTATTTTCCTATGTAGTTTGAGACTCTAGAGACACAAGTAAAGAATTTCTATTGGAGGCAACAATTAAACTTAACTAACAAAATCTCATAAATCAACTTGATAAACGAAGTTCAACATATCTAGGTAGACATAGATTACCAATCATATTCATTTGTCGACAAACAAGAAGTTTCAAAGCATGTAAATGCCAAAGGGAAAATAGAAAAAAATTTTCAGAAGATTATAAAACACTGTAAATATTGCATAGGAAGACTTATAGCATGATAGGTACAAAAATTTTCTCCTTGGATATGCAAGAAAAAAAAAAAAAAAAAAAAGGACAAAAACCTGAATAAGCATGACCAAAAACAAAAATCAATTTTTAATTTTGGCACTTTCAACCCCAAACAAGAGTACAAAAACAGAACCAATTAAAACATTTACTAACATTCCATATACAATCATCACAGAGACACAGAAAAGATAATGAGTTACAACATTAATAATGCTACTTTAATAAAAAAAAACCACTAAATCAAAACCCTAACCATCAACAAACGGGAGAAGAATTAGCAACAATAGGAAAGACCCAATTCAGCAATGAAAAGAAAACAACTAAAACCTTCATAACATACAATAAGAAGATTGATAGATAGAGAAACGTAAGCATACAAGGAACTGGGCAAGGTTGACGATGGTCCAAGCCACTGGTTTTGGGAACTTACTAGTTGACGATTGATGCACACTATTGAATTTGGGATTGATGTCAAAAAACTGAGCTTCAATAGACCAACAAGATCGGGATAAGGTCAATCATTCCAATTGGGTAAGAATGAAGAAGAAAAGAGATCAAAAGAAAGAGATACTTACCGATTGGGTTCTGAGCACACCATTGGATTTGGGATTGATGTCAAAAAATTGGGCTTCAATAAAGCTGTGATACCCCAAAAATTTCTAGAATAAATAAGTGAGTTAGGGACTTGATTGTGAGAAAAGATTGTTTTGGGGTCTAATGTGAATATTCTGAAAGTTGAGGGACTTAAAGAGGGAAAAATTTTGGATAAGGATGAGTTTCTTTTCTTTTTTTTCTTCTTTCTTTCTTTTCTTCCCAGCCTTGCCCGATTCTGCTCTTCTTCTCCTTTCTTCCCGCTGCAGCCCAAAAAAAAACGAAACCCAACCATGCCTTGAGGAAACCGGTAGAGAGCTTGATTCTTCCCTTCTTTCTTGTCCAAGAACCTGATTTGGAACCCAGAAATCTTTCCCCCTTGCTGGAAATTCCAGATTTGCCTTGCTCTGCTTGTCTTCACCGTCGGCTGCTAGTGGGTATGGGTGATTTCTGGGCATTTTTTCGGTAAGAACAGCCCCTAATTCCTTTGTTCTTGCTTGAATTGGCTTGGGTTTACCTTAATTGCTCTTGGTTCCTTCAATTTTTGGTAGCCCGAGAGTTTCCCTGCAGATTGCCGCCGGCTTCTCCCCCTGCCAAGTCCGGTTTTTGGCTGCTAAATTCTGGTATGGACAGCCCCTTTAAGCCTAAAATTATTCATTAGCTGCTGGGTTTGTCCATGAATTATTGCTCTCCATGTGCTGCCGTGAGAAATGGGGATAAATTTGATAGTAATTAGACCATGATTAGCTTAAATTAAGTGGGATTTATATGATTGAGTGTTAATTGTCTGCTGTGTGATTTTTGGAGAAAACCCCGTGATTAGCTAGTGTTTTGGCCAATTTTTGGAAGTGTAGTTACTGTTCACGTCGTGATTACTGTTCACCGGCACTGTCCGGTTACTGTTCACGCACCGAGGGTCAATAATTAACGGGGATTTAAATGATTAGTTTGTGATATGAGAATGATTTTGGAGATATCTGATTATGTGGAGATTGATAGGAAATAGCATCGGGATTATGAGTGATCTTAATGATAATTTCAGTGTGAATTTGTGATAGTTCGTATTAATTCTGAGGTGTTTTGATTAGATTCCCGATCGTTATGTCAGTTAGCATTGAGGTTGAGTGCTTGGTTTTATGCGAGTGAGGTAAGTGAATTATGGTAATGCCCTCTGATTTTAAAATCATGTTTTGATTTGTTTTTGAAGTGGTGGCGGGACTAAACCCGTTTTATACAAAAATGAGCATGATTGATTTGAAGTGAGATTTTTATGCTTTTCATTAAATTGAGTATGCCTACTTGAAATTTAAGTGATTGTCCTGATGATTTGAAAGTGATTGGTGAATTGTGATTTTTTTGTTAACTTCTGCCTGTTTTGTCTCCGATGTGGTCATGTTATTAGTGACCCTGCTAGTGGGGGAGTTTATAAATGCTAGCACATGTCGACATGTATTTCTGTAGAGCCGGTTCCTTCTACCAATGGGAGTTGTTAAACACTGGTATTTCAGTGACCCTGCTAGTGGGGATTATACACCAGCAAATCGTGTGCTTGCCAGTGGGAGGTTTATAACACTGGCCGTGACCTATAGAGGAGACGTCTATTTCGTTCTCGTACTGTATCCGTTTTACGTGATTGCACATGTTGGCATGCTATAAGTTTAATAAGGGGCACTCCATATTTACTTACTGAGTTTATCTCATAGTTTTTCCTTGTCCACCATTTCAGGAAGTGAAATCGAGGACGGGGAAACCACGGGAAGTGACGAGTTAGAAGGCTAGCCATATTGTAATTGAACATAGATTTAGAAACAAATCATGATCTTGTATTTGGAGACTTTATTGGAGATTTATGATATTAGAGCAAATTATAAGATTTGATCTTCATATTTTGATGGTATCAGATTATGATATGATAAGTTTCGAGACTTGTGCATTTGTGGGACCCTCTCACGAGTGTACGGTGTCTGCCACGTCCTCGGATTTGGGTTCTGGGGCGTGACAAAAGCAGCAACATTGGGATAAGAAAAGCAAAAGTACTTTTTGGGTGAGAATGAAGAAGAAAAGAGACCAAAAGAAGGAGATGGAAGTGATGACAACAAATTGGAATAGAGGAGATTGGCAGATGGAGAAGAAGAGAATAAGGTAAAAAAACGGATTTGTGTTATAAATGAGGAGGTATATATAGTGATTTAGTTGTAAATTTATTAAAATATAAGTGTAAAATGAGAAAAACAAGTAAAATTCATTTACCACCCACAAAAGCACCTGCAAAAGCATAAGATTCTTATTTCTCCGATTTTCAAAGGGTAAAAGATAAGATCAACTACTCAATAATTGAAGCAAATGCTAAAAGTTTTGATATTTGATGTAACTGGAGTTTTTAGAGTACAAAAGAATTTTTCATCAATTGTACCAAATATACCCTTAGTCACTACGTGTAGCCTTTTCTTTATTATTCGTTCTATTTTTTAAGTTTTTTGTTTTTAACCATCAACTCCAGATCACTTCCTTTCTATTTCTCTCCTACATTTAATCCTTCTTCCTTTGCTTTCTCCATGGATGGCGAGCTTTCAAAGGAAGCTAGCAGTGCACTTAACTCCTTCAATTTTCCCACAATTTTATCCTGATTGCAACTATTTTTCTTCAGATCTTGGCTTCGTTAATTTCATTTCTTGGCTACATTTTGTGTTCTTGCTAAACCAACTTAGTCACACGTTGAGTTTCATTGAGTGACTTCTTTTAAACTTTAAACAGACTTTTTAACGTTTCTTAGTAAGCGATTTCAAATCTCAACCCTCTAATTGGAATGATCGTTGTGTTCTTCCTTTTGTATTTTTTATTTTTTGGTTTCCTCAATTTCTAGCTAGCATTAGAACGAAATTAATCAAAATTTCTTATCTTTAGCATCCATTTTTTAGAAAATGGAAGAGAGGGTTTCAGTTTTGGTAGCATTTTATCATTATTATTTTTTTTAAAATTTATGTACAAAAATTATGAGAAATTATATTTATCAAATTTTAACGTACCAATCCATACATTGAAATTTGAGTGGTATTATGAAAATTTGATCGGACCCAAAATTATACTCGTATCATTTTAGACAAAGTGTAAAATCAATATGTATTGACTGTACCGAAATTGACAACAGTGGTTGACCATTCGGCAACGGGAGAAACAGAGTATTTTTTTTTCTTTTATTTATTGTCAAAGCATATTTTAGGTTAATTTTTGTGTATTTTAAAATTATTTATTAAACGTGTATTTTTTTATCATCAGCTATATTTGTTATAGTTATTAAGGTTATAGTTATGCTCACACTTAATTTTGTTAAAATTGTACACATCAATGATAATTAAAAAAAAAATAGTTACAATATTTGAAAATATATATTTATAAATTAATTTTAATTTATTAAATAATAAAAATTAATTTTTTATTAATTATTAATTACATTTAATA